TTACGGGCCTTATATGGGCCTCCAGTCAGTAACCCAAAATGGCTATTTTTTTTTTGGGGTCTAACATCTACACTTTCGTTAGTTTTAAACGGTGGTAAAAGATCGTACAATTAGGTTGACAAGCCAATTTTAACTAACTTCCAAAAGATACAATATATAATTGAATCCATATCATAAAAAAAAATCGATAACCAATCAAATGCGCTATATTCTCACGGTTCATATGCTCCAAAGAGCATTGAAGTAAATTTTTGATCCACCATGTTATGTCGTGTATAATGTTTTCCTTTACATATGATATGTTTTATAAAGTAATTTATGTATATAAATAGAAGATGAAATTGTATACCAACTATAAAATATATATATAAATGTTCATGATGAATTTCAGGTTCTCTAGATTGGGTCATAGATCTTACGCGATAGACCTTATGATGCTTCCGGAAAAGAACATTGGTAGCACCGGATAGAAATTTCTTCATCTTGAGAGATGAGGGACACACCATTCGTTGGTAATATCTCTGAGAGTCGGTTCAGTCGGATGTTTGGGGAACATGAATACTTACACAACAAGACGGTCTGCAGGAGGATGAGAAGAGGGTTTCTCCCAAGAACTCTCTGACTCCTAAGTTAAACATCCACACGAGAATATGTTTAATTGGAAAGTAAGTTGAAGGTTTAGTTTAGTGCTATTTCCAGAGATCACGAACACCATTTGTCATTTATTAAGTAAAAATATAGAGGCAGGGTCGACCCTGGGCACAAGCAAGGAAAGCTCATGCTTGCGGCCCTTCTTTTAATTAAATAAAATTACCCCATAAATCCTAAAAAGTCTTCATGGTCTAGTGGTAAACGCTGAACATGTTACATGGGTTCGAATCGGCTCCAACGCATTTTCTTATATATTTTTAAAGACTTTTTTAAAAATTAAAAGTAGCCCAATTTTTGTTTAGCTTGTGGCCTTCTACAAGTCTGCTCCTAGGGAGAGTGGGGATGGAACTCTTCTCTCGATGAGTGGGGCGTTCTTGAGTACTCTTTGTGAGATCCCCTCGGTATCATGTTTTAAATCCGTCACCTCCCTTTCTTAGAATTTTATCTCTCATTATTTATAGAGGAAGCATGCTTATCGTTGCCTCTAGATTGGTTGAGACCATTGGTGGATCACATCCAGAGTCGGCCCTGGATAGAAGTTAGAGAAGCCTGGACTTAGGGCCTTTGAAAAGTTTATTAAATTTAGGGGCCAAAATGAAACAAAAAAGCTTATCAACGCTGTTGGTAACAGTTGGTAGTAACGGTATCAAGGTGTAGGGTTCGAATCCCTGGAAGATTGTTTTTTTATTTTTAAGGTTTCTTTAAGAAAAATATATATCTCTATATATAATGGGCCAAAAAAAAATTTGCTTGTGGTCCTAAAATTATCAGGGCCGGCACTGGTCACATCGCTCACCGTCTCTCTAGAGTGATTGGCGCTTGGCATGCGACAAGTTATACAAATTGATTTTTACGGTTTTTAATTATGATTTAATAGTTTTATTTAATGTTTAAAATGATTTTGTATTTTAAGGTGTTTTAAGTATTTTTGGAGTTCATATTGCCTTATAGGTTTTATCAGAAATTAGACTAAAAAGGACAAAAGGTTAACAAATGTTGTTTATGGACAAAGCCGAAGCATAAAATCGTTGATTGCCTAGATTGAAATGAAATATTGACACGAGATAGCTAACAAGTTAAATAGGTGCTTTGTACAAGCTGATGACATGTTAAAGCATGTACAATGCTTAATCTTAGAGTGTGTTCTTATAATATTTTTGATTAAATATAATTGATAAATATTAAACAGAAATAAAAATTACTCTTAAATAAGATCTTTTGTAGAGTGTTTTAAAAGGACACCTGTCAAGTGGAGATTTAATGGACAAAAAACAAAAACAAAATTAAAAAATAACTCGAGAAGATGAAAACGCGTTTCA